ATAAAAATCCTTGCGCCGTTACTGTTTCTCTCTCTAGAAACCCAGCATTGGGTTGGGTATCGTTGAGCGGAAAAAATCTACGTAATCATTACGATATATTTAATGTAGTGAAATCATATATATAGCGTAATATATAATTATATACAGTACAACATACGTCAAACCAGGCATAACATCAAAAAGTTATCGAGCTTTTAGATTACAAACAATACAAAAGATGCATAGTTTCTTTTATCAACTGCAGTAAAAGATAATATAGTATAATCATATATATACTCTACTATACTACATGACTATATCAGTATACGTATCTTATACAACAAAATATACAACATATACATATACTGATACAGTATATTATTACTGTTAAATCCTGCATGTACTAATATATAGTATATGACACACACTATATATAAATTTTATATATAATGTAACATAATTCATATATGCAATGGTAGTATTGCTACAATAGAAGAAAATTTTACGATGACTAATGTAATTACGTCACTAGCATGAGATCTTTAGTTTACAAACTTTTAATGTAACAGATACGTTATTATATTTTTATGATATAGAAAATATGTTAATGTAAATTAATTAAAATAAATGTAATATTAGGAATTTAAAACGTAATAATTCACGAGTTTATTCTACGATGATGTAATATTCGGTTAAGAACCAATGAGTTTAGGGAACGATGATGTCATCGACACGATTGTTGCTAGGAGACTGAAACAGCAGCCTAGTGGGGCAGATTTCGCGGCGGCTGCTTACAAGTTCGCGGGATGGCGTGTAGTTGTCAGGATGAGTTGTCCGTTTTGAAACAAATGATTTCTGAGATTTCTCATCATAGAAATAGAGAAATTAAACAATATTATAAAGAAGGTTAGTAATATTCAATATGTTAATTTATAAATATAAATATTGTCTTTACAAGTTTTAAATACCTTAAAATTTAAATGTTTATTGTAAAGAAATGATTTAAAAATAAGATTAAATGCAAAAGTTTGTATGTAAATATAAATATAAAATCTTCAAGTACATACATTTATTAAAACTGTAATAAAATCAATTAAAATTAGTTTAAAGGTAAATGTCAATAAGTTACATGAGTCATTTTATTGCTGTATTTTGAAATGTTTAATTTGCTTTGATATTATCAATTGTACATATAAATTTTCATAGGTATTCAGCATTGCAATGGAAATAAAGTCAAAATTGAGAATGAATCTAACTTTATTTTAATTTAAATAAGCTAATTAATCATTTTTTTTAGTTGGCTCAAGTATCATATTGGATTTTTAGGTCACTGGAAAAAAGAACTTCTAATGACACTTAAACTTGCATTAATGTAAATAAAATTAGAGTTGTATTGGCACATTATTTTAAATTACAAATTTTAATTAACTTAATTTTTATAATCCGTGCGTTAGGTAAATCAATACCAGATAAATTTTATGGTTTTCTTCTGTTTTTGGATTGTCCCTATACAGTAAACCTGATTTTTAAAAAATGAAAAAAAAGTTGTAAACAATTTAAAAAGTCTTAGATATAAACTAAAATGAACCTTAGAAACTTCAGAGAAATTGCTTTATTACAATTAAATATACATTCCAGTCCAAAACATAAGTGTAACTGTTAAATTTGCCTAGTTTGCCTAAATGGAATGGCATGGAACATGTGACCAGAACATTATGTTCTTTATGCAACAAAATACTTCAAATGCAAAACTTGAATCTAAATTAAATTGTCCCAAAAACAACAAGAAAAAATAAACTTTTTGTACAAAAACTTGATTAATATGGTGTGCAATTGCCTCCTGCATTTGCATGTTCTATGTAGCAATTGCTCTTGCCAGTTATAATGTAGTTTGTTGGTTCTGTTGGGAGATGGCTGGATGGAACTTTATATTTCACACTTTGCTTGAATAAAATGAAGTTGAAATGTCTTCGGATAAAAAGCATTTCGGGCGTATTATGTTTTGTGAGTTTTGGAAAGGATATGATGTATAAACTGAAAAATTTTTGTAATGTTTATGGAGAAGATACTCCTAAATGAATGTGAATGTGTCAAATGTAGTTTAAAAAGTTTTGTTTGGGAAATTTTGAACAAAGGATACAGAGTGAACCAAAAAGATGTTGATGAAGTAATGTTGAAGGGAGAAAATGTTAAAAATTGACAAATTATTATACAGTATTTAATGTGTTTGGTTATATATAACCAAACACATTAAATACTGTATAACACATTTTTATATATAACCAAACACATTTTGGTGTGTTTGGTTATATATAACCAAACACACCAAAATGAGAAAAAAAAAAACACTAAAAACATACAATAGTAACGTGAAAGTGTGAGATGACTTGGATGCGTAGCAGATTGCGTTTATGCTTTGAGTACAGTTCAAACTTTGAAGTAAACTTTTGTTAAATTCAGTGTTTTAATCCTGAGGTGTTTGAAGTTAGTTGTTTAAAGAAGTTACTTGTTTAAAGTATGAGGTCCTACCACTGTGTTTTGTTTGCTTGTTTTTTTTTTCCTTTAATCAAATTTAAAATTTGTGCAAAGGAAAAAATATTACAAGGTACTAGATAATTTGAAATAAACAGATATTTGATTTTTAAATCTTGTTAACATGCAATAGTGCAATAGTTAATTTTCAGGTTTCTATGGAAAAAATGATGACTTCAGTATCTGTCAGCCAATACAGTGTAGATTCAGATTTTGATAATTGCTGGAATTTTCAATGCAGTCTCCCATGTATCATAGTGATATTCTTTCCTAAATTAATGTGTAGAGATGATCTTAAATAAACAACTGTTTAATTTAAATATGGAGACTCTTTTTAATATTGGCCACTTCATGAAGATGATGTTTTTAATTAATTAATGTGTTCCTATTAGATTTATTTTTATTTCAAATATATTTGGTACATAAAGAAGTGTCTTTATTTTCTCTACAAAGTTATATAAATGTATAAAGTTCAAAATAAATTTACACAAAATCAAGGCTAACTTTTTAATAGCCAAAATAATATCCACTTTAATATTTGGTCACTGTATGATGATGATGAAAATGTCATATCTTCTTGTAACACAATGAATGAGTCTTAATATCTATCATCACTGCTTTCAAATGATTTTGCATATTTGCAAAAATTTTCCTGGTGTTTGTAAGCTCAATGTGGGTCTATTCTTCTGTCAGCTTCCTCTTCAGTTCTTCCTTTGATGAACTAACATTCTTTGAACTCTAGAACTGAGTTCATCCCATAAATTCTCAATGGGATTGAGGTCAAGCAATTGGGGATTTTTTGATAACTTTGGGGCATTTATAGAGAAGCCAATGGTACATTATATATGCCTTATGTTTGGGATTGTTATCTTTGTAAAATCTGAATGTCTTTGTTTTCTCCAGCTTTTCTGCATTTTTGTGCAAGCATTTGTTGAGAATTGTCAGGTAATGTTCTTTTGTCATGGTTTTTTCAATGAATTTCAATTTGCCCACACCAGCTATAGATATGCACCCACACATCATGTTGTCACCTCTGTGTTTTACAGTTGCCTGTAAATTTTTTTTTTTTGTTCTTCATTTGTTTTCTGTTACACTAGAACTCTACCATCGGATTGAAAAATGTTGAATTTACTTTCATCTGCAAAGATGATATCTGTCCTCTATTCCAATGATTTGTTCATGTGGAAGTTTGCAAAGTCTAACATTTTTTTTTTTTTTATTCATTTTGCTGACATAGGGTTTTTCCCCTTTCTACTCTTTCATTGTAGCCCTTACTTCACAGGACCGTCCACACTATCTCTGGGTGTACTTGCTTTCTATATTCTTGCAACAGCTCTGCTGTAATTTTAGGGTTTTTCTTCACCTTTCTTGTGACAGACACCTTTTGCAGTCACTCAGTTTACATGGTTGATCTTTCTGCAGTATATTTTCTATCCTATTTTCTTTTTGGAATAGTTGTATGTTATTACCAACTGTACTGTGTGGTATATTTAATGCATGAGCAATCATACTGTGCAAATCCCATTTTATGGTTTAAGATTACTAGCTGATGCTGCTCAAACATTGTATTGTGACTTTTTCTCACCATTTGAAGCATTGTACTTCCCTAATCCTGTTAACATGAATTCTCTAATAGCAGCATGAGAAATGATGTATTGCAGTGATGTTGATTTGCATATCATCATCAAAAATAGCCACAATTGCCATGTCTCTGTAGTGGCCAAATATTAACCGCTATCCGATGCGGTGGTCGTAGTAATTAGGGCCATTCAGAGCCATATGACCACCGGCAGTCGGAGCCAACTTTATAGATGTGTGCAAGAGGCCACCACTAGGGTGTAAAACAATGTCTTACAAAACCATGATAATTTAACCTTGAGTGAAATTACATTGGTTATAGCAATGCTGGGCAGTCAGATGTCTCTGTACAACCCTAATTAGTACGACCGGTGGTGCCTCGGATAGCACCGGCAGTCTTAAATGTGTTAAAATGTGATTCTGAGCCATTGTCAAGAAGAATAGGATCAAACTATTGGTACTTCAAGCTCAAGACGTTTGTAATGATGAAATAATACACGTGGGACATTACCTACATTCTGTCACCTGGAATGGCTGAATATTAATGTGTCTGAATATTTTTCTGTTTATGAAACATTGATTCTATAATCTAGAGATGATCTTATTAAATATGTTTATGATATTGTATTTCCTGCATTAATATCACTGTCCTAAATGAATAACAAGTCAAAATTGACTAAAATATTTTTTGATATTAATCATGATATGATACACATATATATTTATACTAACTTGTAAGATAATATTGATATACAAATATATTGTGTGTGTTGTACAGATATTTGCTTTATTTTAGTTCATGTTTATTAATTCATAATCTGATTTTTAAAATGTTAAATATTAATTCAATATTATTTAAACATTGTTCCATATAAGTTAAAAATTACACTAAATATTTTTTTTATTTGAAGATAGTGGTTTTGTATTGTTAAATCCATCTACCTTTTGGACGGATTTATTTGTGCGATTTTTTTTACATCATGAAGATGATCAAATCAGAGATGATTTACTATTTTTTGTTCGAAAACAACCAAAAAGATGTAATACTAGAATTATTCCTCAATTTGAGGTAAGTTAGATATTTCTTGCTAAAGTTTATACATTTGTATTTTAATAATAGAATTACATGTAGTTTCTAAAGTTCTTTTGTTATTAAACAAAAGAAAAAGATTTGTTATAAAATCTATACAAAATTACAAATAAGTATAATGTAATTTTATGTGGATAACCTGTGGTAGTGTATAACTTGCAATGGCACTCTGTAGAAAATTGCAAAAAAATGAAAATTAAAGCTTTCATATAACCTATCCTACACCTTATAGTTCTGAACAGTCATTGAAAACTAGATAATTACTAGTATATAGTTTAGAAGTTGCTGTCTCAAGCATTAAAATATTGCTTTTTCTGTTATGGAGGCTCATATTGGGTTGGAGGTGGTGTTATTGAGACCACTCCTAATTATGAAAGCTGTCTTCCATCTAAAATACTCCATTGCAAAACTGCTAGTGTGGTGGTAGATAGATCCTTTTTTAAGGATGACGTGTGGTAAGTTGTTTCTGAGTTGCAAGTTGAGAGAGTGGGTAGTGATGCCAATATATTCACATCTTTTATGTAATTTGTTATTCTTGATGGAATATTAAATAACTTTTCAATCTGAACATGCATTAACAAACTGTACTCACTGACTACCCCCATAATTCAATTGCAGATGTTTATGAATTATCCCAATTATGTAAATTAAATGTAAAATAAATATGATTTATTGCTTTTATTTTATGACTAATTTCCTTAATCAATAATAATAATAATAAACAGAAAAAATTAAAAAAAAATTTATTATCAATATTAAAATAATTTTCTGTTTAATTTTGTTAAAAATGTTTTACCTTTTTAAATACAATCTCATTGCGACTTTTGCTTGTTTTAATAATTTTGTAATTTTTATTGAAAGTCAATGATTTTAATATTTGTTTTAATCATTAATGTTCTTTTGTTTTAACTTGTGATTGGAATTTTAAATGAGCATATACAGTTGACCCCCCATAACACTGTTGATTATTCCGTTTATATGAATTTCATGTTGTCACTTAGATTTTACAAATACATGAGCCATTCACAACCTGTACAACATGGAATTCATATAAAATGGAATAATGACAGCATTCATGTTATATAATTGTATTTCAGCTGAGAGTCCTCTGGTGGATTTCAGGCAGCCTAAGATTAATTTACATAATTGTACATAGAAGCCCAGGATCATTTTGACTAATTTCATTAATGAAAAATTAAGACTATACAAAATAAATTTTGAGTCCTTTTTGCCTATTAATATCCTTTTATTCCAGTCAAGGAACCACAAAAACAGCCTGCAACATGACTGGAATAAAAGGATATTAATAAGTAAAAAGGACTCAAAATTTATTTTGTATAGTCTTAATTTTTCATTAATGAAATTAGTCAAAATGATCCTGGACTTCTATGTACAAAAAGATGCAAGTTTTACACAATCATATAAATGATGATTGTGTCAAGTTGCATCATGTACAATAAAGACACTTGTCTAATGAACATAAATCAATATAAAAATTGTTTTAATTAGACAAAACTTTTTTAAACTCAACTGGGCAATCATTTTCTTAACGACAAAAGATAAGTGGTGGTGATAAACAAAAAGGGTCTAATGGTTATCTAATATATCTGGATACCAGGAAGGGAATTTAGCATTGGCTATCTTTTTCTTCTCTTTTCTCAAGAAAAGGTTATCAAATTTGAAAAAAATTGTTTTACTATAACGACTTATTATCAGATGAGTCAATTATCGGTCTTTAATTGCTAAAGAAAAGCTAATTCAATTCAGCAGACTATCCAAATCTGTTTATCAACTGTTTTTTGGTGATCTGTTTATTGACAATCCTTTCAAAATTGGATACACTGCATATTCAAAATAGGAAGATCCAGAGATGATATTTGACAAAAATTCAAAGTTTTAGTTTAATAAATAATTTATGGGAAAACTCTTAAATCCAGTTCAGATATAATTGTATATGTCAGAATTGGTCTTTTGAAACAAAATAGATGACAAAATAACTCAATTGAATCAATCTCCAATACAAAAAGGTTCCCAAAAGGATAAACCATAGAACCAACTTGATGTAAATAAAGAAGCAGCTAGCTTTTTAATAAAAACCATGTGATTCTCGGCTTTCTCAAAAACACTACACTCAAAATGTGAAATGTCAATCACTACATTAACTTTAGAGAGCTTTATCCTTAACAAAGGAAACATAATTAGCAAAAGAACCAGTAATTGATAAATGCCTGGGTAGACCACTTCATTAACAATACTTATATTTTTGCCATTTATAAAAACCTATCAATTTTCTTAGATGCTTGCCCTGTTTAAAAATAATTATTTTATAGTGAAGGATGTTGATCAATAAAATTAATTTAGAGAAATACAGTTAGTCCAACTTCCTCTGAAAATAAAGTGGTGTGACAAAGCTGTGTTGTCTGCAAATTGAAGTTGTTGAACATCAAAAGCACCTAAACTGATGGTGTCATCTCTTAAATCATCAGACACATGAATGATGTTATTGACATAACAAACAGCAAATCATTAAGGCATTGGTTCCCAAAGTGGGTGCTACTGTTCCCATGGGTTGTGAGTAAATCTAGGGGGGGCAAAAAAAGCCAAGTGGTCAGCAGGGTATTGAACGGTGACCATAGGCAAAGGTTGAAAGTCACTAACAACCTTTTCCTTTCCTCTGTTAAATGGGTAAGAAGAAACATTGCATTTAATGGTTTCCAGATGTTGAGAACAATGTATAGTAAGGACACACAGTTTGAGGTTCATAGAAAAGTTTTCTTAAGAATATTTCCAAGCCTTTCTCACACAAAGGAAAATGGGTTAGTGAGTATTGGGTTTTACTTTATGGAACAAAGGAGGCGGTGGATCGAAAAAGTTTCAAAATCACTTCGTTAAGGGAATCATTCTGTGGTAAGCTTTTGTAACATAAAACTTTTAGTTTTATGTTAGAAAAGCTAAACTAGTATCAATGTAACAAAATACAGAAATTGGAGGAAATATCAGAAAATAAATTTAATTTTAGAAATCAACCATGCCAAAACATTTAATGAAACAAAAACATTTTCAACTTAATTTAATAGTTCATCAGTTGAACGTTCCAAGTAGAACATATTTGAATAAAAAGAACATTCAACAAATACCAATAAAATAAAACAAAATACAGTGGAACCTTGGTATACGACCTTAATCTGTTCCTGGTGTTTGGACTTATACCGAATAGGACGTATACCAAACCAACCTTTCCCATAAGAAGTAATGTAAAAATGATTAATTTATTCTAATGTAAAAAAAATGGCTCACTTTATACACCTTGCTTTCCTGGCTAGTTCCTGTTTGATTTTTCATGAGATCAGCATGTATCTTTTTAGCTTTCTCGCAAATAATAAAGCTTCTGATAAACTGTCTCCAGCACACTGTTTTTCAGTTATCCAAAGCAAAAGCAATTTCTCAACATGATCTAATGTCTTCGATCTCTGTTTAGAAATTGATTTAACCCCTTTCACAACATTAGCAAATTTAATAATGTCTTCATTTTTCATGATTGTCGATATTGTCGTTCTCTGAATACGGTATGCAACAGTTAAATCTCGAACACGCATGCCATCTTCATATTTCTCAACAATCTCTTTTTTCAGTTCCGTTGTGATTCTAGTCATTTTTTATTTTTCTGATGCCTTTTTGCAATTCATGATTAATAAAAATAATAAAATTTTACTTACAAATTAAAATCAGAAGAAATTTAACAAAGTAATAAACCGTGGCACTGCGAACGTCTAGTCTGGTCTAATACACCGATAGTGCAACTTGTTCATAGATAGCGCGTATAATTGAATTAAGTTGTATACTGAACAAAAGTCATATACCGAGCAAAATTTGTTTCGCCCAACAGGACATATTCTAAAGCAGATGTATACTGAGGTACCACTGTATAAAATGTATGTTTAACAAAATAATAATGTAAAAGTTTCCCCTGTAAAGGACAGTCAAGTTAGAGTTTATACAGAGACCTCCAGGTAGTATATAGTGAGTCCCTGTATTCCTGTTATTAATACATATAGAAGTTTTATTGGCCTTATATATTTCTAAGATCACCTAAATGCCTAAATATATTGAGATTCTTAGCTATTCTGATGATTGTAGCATCTTCACACACAACCTGTACTTTCTATTGAGTGGCATATGCTACTAATGTCGTGTGCAAAGTTTCTTATCAATTTGTTCTTATTACTTGTGTTCCTTAAGACTTTGTTGTAGATTTTGTTTTGTAACCTGATCTATACTAGTATTCTGTTAAACTGCATATCCTCTATTCTGATTTATCTGATTATAGTAGATACTGTTGGTGTCTATTATATCAAGACAATTGTGAAACAACATGGCATGGTTGATATAATGCTTGATCAACTCCTTCCAGTCATCCAAGATTATATAACCATATCCTGAGTACAAAAGAAGACTCAAGATTTCTTTGCCTTGAATAAAATATACAGACAAGTGGCCAAATGCAATAATATGAACATGATATATAAACATAACTCTACTATTTTCAAGATCTTACAACAAGGTGCAGTAAAATCACAATGATTCCTCTGGAATTTATTTAATAGACTACTTGTAAAAGCATTCTATATTTAGAATCTGCTAATGTTCAGTAACGATCAATGATTGATTCAGGCCACTGAAAAAGGAATTTATTTTCTTTATTTTCTAAACTAGTGTAATTCTGAGCTTCTGATTCCATAAATTTATTAATGCCATTCAAAGTTTATTTATCAGAAATGCCCAATTCTTATAATTAGTAAATAAAACTGCTAGAATAACACTGCCAAATGCTTTTTTATAATTAATGAAGTTAGATAATAAGCATTGCTTTTTCTATGATGATTATCTACAAATTACAGAATGAAGAATCAAGACATTATATAAAGTATTCTTTAGAGTTGAAAAAAAATTGTATTGTGTGGATCATTTTCCTCTCCCTC